CTTAACGTCATATTAAAGAGTGCAATTATCACTAGGTGTTTGAAATGTTTGAGGAAAAATTGGAGCCGTTTTTGAGAAAATGGTGTTGCGTTTGTAAAATTGCAGTTTTGAGCTAGTTTTTACAGAAAACGTTAGAGTTTTCGAGAAACTTTAATGACATTATTTAAAGCACAAGTACTCATAAATACAATAATGTTAACAAATTGTCACTAATATAAATATAAACGACATGAGAGACAAGTCAAACAAATTAAAATCTTGTATTAATTAGATCGCTGGTGAGGTAGATACCTTTTTATTATGATAAATAAATAAAGATATTGTCTGGTATCAATACCAGTGTATTGATATCAGACAATATATTTATTTATCATATTAAAATCTTGTAATTAAAAACAACAAAAGAATTTAGCAAAATGGCGTTTATGTTATCTCATTGAGTACATTTAGCACTATCCCTTCCAAAAGTTTAAAGAAAAAATTTGAAGCAGTTTTTTTAGAAAATCTTGTTTTTGTAATTTTTTTAAAATTTGCAACATAATGCACGCAATATTGTGCAAACACAAGTCGATGTTGTTTTGCAGTATGTAACGATTCTTTGGTGGATTCAAAATCATTTGGTGCCATCTGCAAAGCATTCCAACCTGAAGACAGCTCAACACCAAGGTAACAAGTAAATAAAATGAATAATATCTGGCCTAGAGCAGAACTTGAAGGACACCACTTGTAACAGTTTGGGGTCTTGATAGTGTGGTTCCAGTCTCTACCCAGAATATTTCTGGATCACCTCAATACTTGTCTTTTTATGCCCAATGATGAAAGTTTATTAATAAATGTTTATGTGGGACTTTATCAAAAGCTTTAGCATAATCTAGATGAATTCAGATATTAAAAAGCAATTTCTGTAAAGTTATATCTGGAATGTACTATTGTACAGATCTGAAGGATGGACCCTTATACAAACGGACTGAAATCATTTGAGAGCTTGTGAGATGTGGTTGTGATGAAAGATATTGAAGGCCATAAAAACTTTCCAATAACGTAATTTTAGAAAAAGTGAAGGTGAAGAGATCCCTATTACAAACCATTTGGAAACCACAGGAAAGCAAAATTCTTTGGACACATTTTCATTCATAACCAATTCTTTTTATTATTATATTTATTGTTTCTGATCCAATTCTGTAGTCCATATATCTAAAGACTGGAGTGAATTGGTAGATGTTGATCTTCTAGGGGTGAAACCACATTGTTGAGGGATAATATCAATTCAAAGTGCACAATCAAAAACCATCAGACAATTACCCTGTCCATAACTTTGCCAACTGTGCTTGTCAGTCTTATTGGTATGTAGTTCCTTAGTTTATTTGTCTCCTTTCTTGAAATCAGGAGTAATGACTGCTTTTTTCCACCTAGATGGCAATATATCTGATTCTAATGATTGATTGAATATTCTGTGTAGTAGAGGGGCTAGTTGTAATCTGCAATTTTTCAGGTACATGGTTGGGATTCCATAAGGACCAGGGCATAAGCTTACATTTAATCCATTTTATGACCCATTTTTTAATATCTGAAAATTCTATATTTTTATGATAAATAAATAAAGATATTGTCTGTAAGCTGCAAGCTCTGAGGATGATCGCTATGCGATCGAAATGATCATAAGCTGAATTAAAAGTATTGATATCAGACAATATCTTTATTTATTTTTCATAATAAAAAGATATCTACCTCACCAGCAATCTGATTAATCTATATTTTTAATAATTTGGTGCATCTCTCTTCAGTAGTTGGCAGCAGACCTGGTTCAACACAACATGATTCTTATTGAAAATTGTTCTAAGCAATTGCAATTTCTCGTGGATCATTTCTTAAACAAAATCTCCATTGTGAACAATCACTGGGGACCAATTTTACAGTTAGTTTAATTATGCATTTAGAAAAATCTTTTACCACCATTGCGAACAATTTGACCTTAATGTTTTCATTGATGTTGACTCACTTTAGACGTGAGATTTTTTGAAATGTTCCTGGAGATGGTGTTACTGTCATCGGTTCCAGTTTTCCCATAATTTGCCCACGCTCGACGTTTAAATCTTAGTTTTATGGTCTCACAATTTTGCAGGGTTTATTTAAATTTGTTCCCTTCATGTATATGGTGAGGGAGTATTTAAAAGATATTTTGATATATCATGGAAGTTCTCATAATTAGTTTCAACATTATTGTTAATTATTATCCAAAACTGGTAAATGCATATTGTTCAGCCAGGAGTCTCATTATTGTTGTATATTCTATTCGAAGAAATTTCGTTTGGAGATGGAGTTAAAAAACACTATTATTCATAAACGACTTTCATGTAAATTACGAATTCATGTAATGGTGAAACATTTACCACATTATCACTTTTGCCTCAAGTGGTGTTGGGAGTCCTTAGTTGACATTAAGTTTAAAATCTGAAAGAGTTTGCTGTACTGGTGAATCAAGTAAGATCAACAACCTACTGAGTAAGATTTGAGTCCACATAATATTTAAGAAATTCTCTTTCAACTTCCGTATGTGGGTTAGCTCTATGTCTCGTTTAAGTGACTGTGAGAAAATTAAAATCTCCACAAATAATAACTGATATCTGCAGATTGCAAACCGTATTAATTTTTTCGAATAGTTTGAAATCAGATTATCCTGGCCTGGTGTTGGATGTTGTATATATTTCTCCTACAACTTAAAATTTTTCAACAATTGCTTCCACATCAGGGTCTTGAATTTCACATGTTTGTCACTGTCACAGCCGTTCTTCCAAACTTTTGTTTCACATACATAATTATTCCCCCTCCCCTCAACTCCTTTCCAACCAGTCTCTGTGATTAATGTCAAAGCCAGATACATGTATTGTGGAATCGGAGATGTTAGAATTCTGCCGTGATTCAGCAATTACTATAACATCTGGTTGCAGGGTTTTGACATCCATTAAAAAATGGTTAAACTTTGGAATGAGAAAGATTTTTGTGTACATTATCTTTGCATTTATATCTAACACTTGTGGACAGTAAATTTTTTGAAAATGGTGTATTCAACTTCAGAGTTTTGATGACTTTAATCAAGTGATACATTATTTATTTAAATCACCACTTAAATCAAAAGACTCTCAAAAAAATTATCGATTTAATCAAAAATTTAATTTACGTACTGTAAATTTACAAAGAATGATTGAAAATTTGAAAGTCAAATAAAAAGAAAACATCCAGAAAACTTGAAAGAAAATATTAGAAAGGAGAGGAATAATGGAGAAGAATACATTTAAAAAAAAACAACAGTTTGTGCCAGCCAAAGTGCGCATTGACATTAACCTTTTCAAAAGAAAATTGTGTATATTAATGTTGTTTTTGGATCATTTGTGATTTTTATAATCTGGATAATTATAATACTGAAAATTATTTTGACTAATTAAATATTGTTCTTGCAAGAGAGAGTATTTACATGGCAGAAGCAATGATTGTGAAAAACAAAAAAACAAAAAACAAACAAACAAACAAAAAAAACAACAACCCCGAAGACTTTAATGATATTAATATTTTTCTTATTTTTTGTTGTACGCTGCCTTGAAATGTATAAGAAAGTATTCCAGAAAGATTTTTCTAATCATGGTTTTGAAGTTATTTTATGAAAACTGTAGTAAACCCTCAATGTTTCAGAACTAGGTCAACTTGGGATAGCCCCATTCTTCTATTGAGCTCTTCAATTTTTTCTTATTTTTCAAATAGGCCTATCTAACAATTTGACTTAATTTAAAAATTTTAATGTAAATCAAAGAATCCGATTTAAATAAAAAATCTGAATTAAATAAAAAAATCCGAATTGAATAAAAAATCTGAATTGAATAAAAAATCTGAATTGAATAAAAAATCTGAATTGAATGAATAATCTGAATTGAATGAATAATCTGAATTGAATAAAAAAATCTGAATTGAATAAAAAAATCTGAATTGAATAAAAAAATCTGAATTGAATTAAAAAAATAATGATATTTATTAACCCTGTTCAACTTTATTAAAATCGGGAAGAATGTATTTAAATCATCCATGTCAAGTCGCACACTCGCAAAACAGCACAATTATTTTGCAACTTGAAACTTTTTTCGAGGTGTAGGTTTGAAAATTGGTGTCATTGAATTTATTTAATTTTTTTCTCTAATCTCACTCCTTTCAGCAATATTAGTAATTATTTTTCCAAAGAATCATGTGTGCGCTAATGTTTAAAATTATTTTGTGCAAATACTTCCTTCAGAAAATTAAAGTTACACTAAAATTGAACTTAAAGAGATGTATTTTCATGTGATGTAAATATATTTTTTAATAAACATATTATCTAAATATATTTTAATTTTTAAATTGCGAAGTTTTATGTTTAGTTACGTTAAAAACTTTGTGAAGTGATACAAGGAGAAGTTAAAGTTACATTAATGTCCAGCAGCAAAGCAATGGGCCATCTCAGCGTTTCCTCATGGATCAGGGAAACGGGACGAAAACCGGATCGAAATGAGGGTCATTGACCCAGAGCTGAAGTACAATACTTGTTTCAGGTTCTTTAGAATTATAAAATCCAAATGGTAAATAATACATTAAATGTCATTGTTAAAATTAATATTCGAGAAAGTAAAAACAATCAAAAATGGCGTATGAACTCAAATTCGGAGGATACACTAATATTAAAAGACGCCCCACTACTGATGCAAGACCAGTGGCGGCTGCTTCGTAAGGGCTCAAGGGTAGCGCCCTCCCCCGGAAAGTTGCTGAAAGTATTCAGCAACTCAGGCTTCATGATTCAACTTCAGGCTTAATGATAATCAATCTTCAGAAATATTGAACAACTGAATTTCTGGGTTATTTGTGTATCATCCTGCAACATTCTTGTCAGATATTTGATGTCAAGTTCTATGTTACATAATTTTATTGCAATCCTCATTGGGAAGAGATTTGTTCTGTAACATCACTTTTTAATGCTGCAGGAAAATTTGCAATGTATTGCAAAACCAACCACACCAGAAAGAAAAGGAAATAGTTACATTGTGGAGTCTCTATCGCCAAGTACATCCCCTAAGAAGCCGCCTAATGAGAGCAAATCGCCGTCGGTAAGTGCGTTTCACTTTTAAGCTTACTTAAAATTACAGTAATACTGGTCGAACATGAAATACTCTTACTACAAAGATTCATCCCTCCCTTTCACTTCATTATACTCCTAGTGACTCCCTTGTTCTGCCACTCAGTCTGCTCGTGCATGTGCACAACGTGGCGTCAATGTTGGGGAACGGGGAGGAGACAAAACACATTCAGTCAAATAAACATAAGAATTAAAAGAAACTTTATTATTATTTTCATTTTCGCGAATTAGCCGTCTAGGACCACGCGGACATATATCTGCACTTACCGACACTCCGTAACATTTATCCTTTGGTAAGTGTGACTCCTTTTTGGGGGATCTGCACATGCTGAATCCACTTATCTCCGAGGGTTTCTTGGTCTGGGGGTATGGGAGATGGAATGATGCTGGTAATGAAGGATGGGAATTATTATTGTTGTTGTTATTATTATTATTATTATTATTATTATTATTATTATTGACCATTTATGGCCACGCTAGACGTTCTCTTCTGTGTCCCAGTTGTGTTCTCGAGAGAGATTAAGGTGTGTCAGTATGGGGATCAGGTTTCCGGCTGTATCCCTTAGTAAGACAAGGTTGTTACGCCTTGAATTATGAATGAGGATGGATAGGATGGAGATGAGGGGGAGATCGCGGTCGTTTTGACCCATTGCAGCATTTGCCTCTACGATCGAGGGAAAACCGCGAAAACCCCGGTCAGGATGGCCGGCCCGGGGATCGAACCCGGGCCTCCCGCCTGCGAAGTCAACGCGCTACGCCCTGGGCCACTTCCCTCTGTCGCCTTGTAGGGCCGAAAACAAAACGGTATCATATTCCTACCTCTTCCCCCATATAGAAGCGCAGCTCTGCAGTGCCGCTGCCCTCAGGAATTCAGCGACATGACAGTCGAAACGGCCCCTCAGACATCGACGCGGTGCCACACGGGCAGCCAAGATGGCGTTCTTGGGATTTGGCCGATGGCTGCCGAAAGCGTATTCGCGCGCGTGCTTGTCTGAAACCAGCTGGAAGGTGTTCATGTTTTTCACAATTAACACTATGTTGGCACATTGACCGCCAAATTGATTCAAATTTGGCGCCTCGTTTCGACTTTTGATGTTCTTTCAAGGCGTTTCGGAGGAAAGGATCATACATTTCAAACTTTCCGCGTAGAAGATACTCTTGTTTAATAATAATAATAATAATAATAATAATAATAATAATAATAATAATAATAATAATAATATAATAAAAGACGCGCGAATTTCTTCCCGGTTGGACGCTTTCAAGGTTCGATTCAGGGTGTGCCAGGCACTGGATGCAGTCCTAACGTGAAGTATAAACGACGAAATTCGTAAAGAAAATGTTTGATTTCGTCTGGACAGAGGTAACTGTGACAATGTCTTCAATACTCGTTAATTCTTTCTCCAAGTAACAATCCTCGTCAATTGTGTGTCGTATCTTTCCAGAACACTCTTGTCTGATAAAAACAACTGATAGAAGAGGCTATGTTTCGTTGCTGCTTCTACTAATTGCTCTTCCAACTTATGTTACGAGTATTTCGCAGCGTCAACACTACCGGAGCTATAAAAATGAGAAACGTAATCTCTTGATACTTTGGGACGACTACCAAAATTGTGGGAGAAATGTGGCATGCGACTGTCACTGACACTTCCCGCGATGTGATGCCTAACGGTGTTTCCGCAAATGTACCTGGGATTATTTGCCATTGCTTTCCCTAGGGGCGCTAGTGCGCCAGTTTGGACGTTTGATTTGGATACCAGATAGCGTAGGCCGAGGTATAATATATGCAATCTTATCCAGTAGTTCAAATCGAAACTCTGGTGCTAAATTGCTAGAGGGTTTACCAGGATCAGCCAAGTGCCTTTTCTGCGATGTTGGACATGCCGACAAGTGTCTGCATGCATGCCGTCGATTTTTGGCACCTCAAAAGTCCCCCGACTTTGACCCCGCGAACTTGGCATGATAGCCACTATAGTGGAAGCTGATAGTGGAATAGTAAGGTTGCTTTTAGAGAGTAAAACTCTCACGCTGATTTGTGCAGGCTGCTGAGTCTTTTCTCAGAAGAAAATTCTCAGGAGGACAACTGCCGCTCATCAATCACTGGCATTTCAACGCTTGACTCGTCAAAAAGAGAAGGGATATTACGGCCCATTATCGCTTAACACTTTGTGCCTGTGTGTCAATGCTGTACGCCATCGAACAATTTTGAAGTTCATTCTAGCAAGCCGCGTGCACAAATTTGATTCAAACCACGATTAGGTCTTCTAGGCTACGTGTGTACGGAAGCAGATTGATACGTCCGTGACTTTGACAATAGTTCGCGTTCACTTAGCAGGTTCATTGTTGGCACTGAAGTCTTACATCCATTTTAGGCAATCTTGCATGATATAGTTGTCATCTGCTCGTTAGATAATTGTTGAGAGGGCCCGAAAGCAGGTGTGAGTTGCTTTGTGAAAATGGAGAAAAGTGAATTTCGAGTGTTGATCAAGCACTACTTTTTGCGTGTAAAACTTTAAAAGAAACGGAAGAGAAGTTGAGAATGTATTATGTAACCTGTAAGCACATCTGAGTTGATGAGTCGCCAAGAATCAAAGCGCGCATGCAGCGATGGGCGCTGCCAATTTTCTATTAAAATGACATGAAATATATTCAATACATTGAAGATTAAACCAAATTCATTCAGATAAATTTATTTCATTATAATTCGCATTTAAATTTATAGTATGAATTATTATGAATTTTAAGTCTTAAACTAATCCAAAAATTGAACTTTATTACAACAAAATTCAGATCACTAAAAAGAAAATTAGAAATTGTATATCATATTGAATTTTATACTAATAGTTATTTTATTTAAGAACTGATTCAATCCAAGTATACATTTAAAACGAAATAGAAGGTTAGAAGAATTTCTTTCTAAACTTTTACGCACCAAATTGTACAAGTTTATCAAAATCTGTTTCTGAAGGTCTCATTTTTGATGCGCAAAATACTCGGTGCAGACATCTGTGTCATTGTGCTTGTTAATTGATTTTCGATATTTTTAAGTAATGAATATGACCATTTCCATTACAATTAGTGACTATTAAACTGAGAAACCGCCGTAAGATTGATTCCATAAGTTCTACTTCCCTAGGGCCCCTTCTATCGTTACCACCGCTGCCCGCTTTCGAACACCGGGGCCCGTAGCAGAGCATTGGTCTCAATGGAGACCTTCCCACGTGCGGTGGGGTTTGCGCCGCTGCGGCGTTCGGCGTCGGACCATCGCTATGCGAAGCGCAGGCGGGCGTACGCGCCGCCGCTAGCAGAACACAGCTTCAAATGACGGTATTCCCATTGCGTCGCCCGTCTCCGCGTTGCACCTGCTGCGGACCCTTTGTTGTCAGCAAAGAGTCGGTGAAACCTATCCCTGGAGAACCCACCCTCTTCCACGGCGGGGGGGCGATGCGGCGGTCGTCGGCGGCGGCGACGTCGTCGTCGCAAGAGCCCTGCCGCTTGTCGGAAGCGCGCCGTTGTGGCTGCATGCCGGTCGGTCTGCCTGCCTCTCAGGCTGCCTGCCTGCCTGCCTGCCGGTCGGTCTGCCTCTGAGGCTGCCTGCCTGCCGGTCGGTCTGCCTCTGAGGCTGCCTGCCGGTGGGTCAGCCTGCCTCTCAGGCTGCCAGCAGCTTCTTTTGCTTGAATGTCTGCTAGTTCATTATCTCTAATGCCCGCATGCGTGTTACCCACCGAAAATATATTTGCTATTCACACTGAAGGCTTTTAATTTCGTTTAATATGGATTCTCCTATTGGTTTATGTTTTGAATTATTTGCCAAAATTACTAATGTGACCTTACTGTCTGTATTTATTGCAACTGTGTTGGTATTGTCTGGTAGGTTTGTAAGCATTTGAACAGATTTTAATATTGCAAATTTTTTCATCCTGATTATTGTATGTGATTATATAGATAGATAGATAGATAGATAGATAGATAGATAGATAGATAGATAGATAGATAGATATAGAT